TATATATATATATATATATATATATATAATCATTTAGCTTTTACTCGCTGTCAAAGACCAAAAGAAGTAATCATATTTTCAGATTATTGTCAAAACTTCAATTGCATATTAAGACACTTCATTACTAATAAGAAAAGCCATAATTATCATTAGCTACCGTAGTGGTTCGGACAGAACCAGATCACATTGATTATGAACTAGACAGATGAACAATATTAAACAATTATAACACTCCCCAGCCTGTTATGCTTATGCATGCGAAAATTAACTTACAGGCTAAGCACACAGCGAGTAACTTGTTGGCCTTTGTCAAGACACTTCTCGGGGTTTCCATCAGCCTTCTTGCATTTGAGGAAGGCCAAATTCTCATTACGACAATTAGTTGATATGTGTTTCCACGATGCCATCAGGACAGGTGAATTGGGAACTGGATCTCCTACTGCATCCACAGTGCTTGCCATTCTTCAGAGGCCTCTTCTTGGGAAAAAAATCAAATCAAATTTGTAAAAGTGTCATCTCTCCACACCTTCCATTTTATTACACAGATAGAGGAAATTTGGCAAAGAAGTCAAGGCGATTGTCAAGAAACTGCAGCTGAAAACATAACCTCAAATTGCTAATTACAACGTGAAATTCACTTGGGTAGACAATGTAATCCAAGTGATATAAAAATTTCGTACCTTGGCACCATTAGACTAGTTATAATTAGCATACAATAATTCCATCCATTTAGTACAGTTTCTGACAGTACTATCCACAGTAGAAGCTTAACTTGTATACCAACAATATTACGTTTATACTCTCAACATAAGACAGCATAAAACATAGACATTAATTCTCTAAAATTAGCAATATTTCCAGATCCTTAAAAATTCCACTCAAACGATCAACTACACAATCAAAATGCATAATAATGTCAACAGACAATTACCCAGTCCTCGTCCAAACGCATCAAAAACGTCATTTCGCTCTGGCGAAATCATAAATCCAATTGAAGTTTCAAATTACACGAATCAATAAACCAAAAAACACTAAATCGACAGAATTGAAAGAATAAAATATAAAATCGTTGATAAATGTCAATGACTATCAATTTAAGAAAAAAGCGACGAGGAAACCTTCAATAAAAAATAAAACATAATCCTTATCTTTCCCTGGGATTTTTATGGTATATAAAGAGAAAAAGGGAGAAATTTTAATCAGTTGAATTATTTTCTACACTACGTAGCAATCAAAAATAAAAATAAATATGGTTGAAATAATTACCTTATGCTTGCGAGCAGAGTATTCAGTCTCAAACGTTAAAAGTGAAAAATGGGGAACAATTGGAGGAAAAGACCCGAGATTTCTATTTTCGTAAATAGATTTGCACACAAAAGTACCCTTAAAATTAATGATTTTTTGAAAAATCATATATAAAATATTTTGAATGTAAAAAAATATTGTTTAAGAGCCTGTTTGATGCTGATTATGAAAATTAATTTTTTACCCATTAATTTGAAAAGTAGATCTCACCTATAAGTGAAAATGTCAAAAATGACGGTAAACCATATGTAAGTAAAGATTAAAAAATTAATTTTTAGACTTGAAAAATTAAAATCAAATGGGGGCTAAATCAAGTGTCACATTTTATTTTAATAAAAAAAGTGAAACAGTGTCACTTTTTATCGCTTTTTTTGTCACATTTTTATAATAAAAAAAAAGTTAAGCATTCACTTTTTATTAAAGAATAATGTTTTTCACTTAAAAAATTTACAAAAATGTCAAGAAAGTGCCAGAAAATAAAAAGAAAAAATGTTGTGTAAAAATTACATGATGCAATGTCACTTTTTAAAGTTAAGTGTCGCTTTCATTAAAAAAATTGAAAATGTGATTTTTGTTACCAAAAAAACAACAGAAATTTCAAGAATGTGATAGATTTTTTTTTATTTTTTTATGTTTACTTTTTTTAATAAAAAAGTGGCAAACACTAAACAAAGTGACATAATTTAATAAAAAAGTGACGAATACTAAAAAGTGGTAGAATTTCAAAACAGGGACAATCACTTAAGAAAAGTGACACACAATTTACCCACTCGAGAAAATTATCAAATATTAATGAGATCACAATAGTTCCAATTGAACATAGTCTACCCACTAAATACTAAACATGACTTTAGTTTCACTTATTTATTAAAAAGTGACATACAAATGTTACTTTTATTAAAAAAAAATAAAAGTGACGAAAATTTTAAAAAAAAATTTAAAAGTATGATAAAATAAAATAAGAAAAAGTGACAAACACAAAAAATGACAGAAATTCAAAAAATGACAAACGCTAAAAAAGTAACAAGAATTTAGAAAAATGACAAACACTAAGAAAAGTAACAAAACACTAAAAAATATGTCACTTTCTATGGTCGAGTTAAGTATTAACCAGACCAAAATAGCTTCAATTCAAAACTAAAAATTTTATGAAGTGACAAAAATCCAAAAAATGTGACAAACACTCAAAAATGATGAAAATTTAGAAAAGATGTAAATAAGAAAAAAAAATTGACAAAACACTCAAAAGAGGCAAGTTAAGTTTTAATTAGACCAAAATAGCTCAAATTCAACACTAAAAATTTAAAACTAGAGAATCCTCTCAAATCCGAGCAGGGCATCAAACCCTCAAATCACCAAAATAGACGTAGCTTGATATTACTGTTCACAGTTGAATCAAATGCCTTCATCTTTTCTCCGTACAAATATCGAAGAGATTTTACAAACAAAAAGAAGAAAAAAAAAGGGAAGAAGAAGAAGAAGAAAAGAAAGAGAGGGTATGTTGGAAGTAACGAAAAATTGAAAAATGGCAAATACTGAAAAAGAAAATTTTAAAAATTGACAAATTATGTTGTGGTCAATAATTCAAAACAACCCTATTGTCTACACATGAAACGCATGAATCGTCGTATGTAATTATTTATACATCATGTATTCAATATAGTAATGTTCAACAAATGATTGGTTTCCTTTCGATTGTCCACATAAGCATTTACACTTTCCAGGTCATGGATTGACCATCAGAACGTCTATTAACAAATTCCAATAGCAAGGCCTCCTCTTTAGCAATTGATCTTATCGAATCATTCATTTCTGAAGACATGCCTTGTCATTATGACCAACAGTACAATGATTTCAATTTTGATCAACCTAAAGAACTCAAAATTTTAAATTCTTTTGTAATGTCAGAAATGTATTGACTTAATCAAAAAGAAATAAAACATGAACCATAAAGTAGCTACCATTATAGCAAATATAAACTTTTATTAGGATCTCGGCGCAATAATATAACAACTAAGTGCAAAACATTTTCCACACATGTTCCCTGCGTCAATTCAAATGCCAAGAATCAGAATTAAGCCAAATAGAGTTCCATAGAAACGACATAATCAGTTATTATGCAAACCTTAATATTGTTATTTGATCCAATATAGTACTGATCAGCTATCTTGGCCTCTCGGGACAGCTTAGTGGTGCAAAGAACAGGAGTGAGGTTATCTCACGTCTTGCTGACAGTCGCAGTGTGGGGGTTCGATTTCTGAGATATGGAATTGGATTCCTTGTAAGCGTAATGTACAAAAAGCTCTTGTTCCCTGGCCTGTTAGAAAACATTCCGCGATTTATCTTCCTCACAAAACTCTAAGGACGGGGCAATGAGAGCCTTGGGGTTCAACTTCTTTTTTTTTTTTTTTTTAACCATTTTGAGCCAGCTCACATACACAGCTATTGTTCCTTACAAAAGTATATCTCCATATAAAGTTCTCAAAGTAGCATACAATTCCTTAAAGAAAATCAAAAGACAGAATTTTTTATTACTAAATCCTCAATTCACGCCAAAATTAGAAGGGAAACAAAAAATTTGTTTACATCAAACAATTAAGAGAACCCAAAATTTTTGCTACCAAAAAATACCCAAAAAGAAAGAAATATCAGATTAATTTGAAAGTTACCTGAACTTCAAAATTCTGAATTTTATTTTATTTTATTTTATTTTTTTTCAGATTCAAAGCAATTAAACAAAAAATTCACAATGTTTAAACAATATACTCAAAAAATTTCAATACCATCCAACTGGGATATACAGACCCACACCAGAATTTTCCTATTCCACTTTGATCACAGAGAGTGTTGCTTTGAAGAAAGGCAAAAGAAGACCCCAAACTTAGAAAAAGCACAAAATAATATTTAAACATATAAACAATAAGTACACATGCAAAGCGAACCCGACGGCTTTCTCAACAAGTTCTTGGTCGTAATTCTCATCGAAACAGTAATGGCCGACATTATAGACTTGACGAAGGAGGGAAACGGGTTTGGTCTTACTCATGGCCAGCACTCGGATGTTTCATTTGAAGCATCTAGGCAATTTGGGAGTAGAGAGTTGAAAAGCTCTATAGTGAATGGTTTTGGAGTTTTTCAGAATTGAGGTTTTCGATTTGAGCCGTGGGGTTTTGAACGTATTTAATACATAATTTAGTCCCCATTTGGCTCCCATTAAATTTTATTCCATTACATTTCATTTTTTTTCTTATTTTCAACTACACGATTTTCCATGAAATAATATTACACGTAATTAAAAACTTTTTATTCTTTTTCAACCACTCATTTTTCAAAAAATACTATTCCCATTTTCATTTCTACAAAATGAGGGTCAAACAAGGACTAAATGTTTTAATTAGTTTGGTACTATTCAAAATTCTCATTTTTGGAGGGTATTTGGCCTAATTTTTCCAATTTCATATCTATGGTCCCGTTTGGGAGTGATTTTGAGAATTGATTTTTTGACTGTTATGAGAAAAGTGAGGGCCACTTGTGAGAAAAGAAGTCAAACTTTACAGTTGGAATAGTGAAATATCGATCAAAAAATCAATTTTATGGAGTGAAAAATCACTCCCAAACAGCCCCTAAGAATATGACATATTTCAAAACTAAAAAACAAAGTTTAGAATTTTGAAAATCCAATATTAATTATATTTTAATTATGAAATAATTAATTAAAAATGTATATGTTAATTAAATATATTAATGTGACAACTTAATTAAATATATTAATGTGACAACTCTATACAATATAATCACAAATTATCTGATTAATTATCTCTTTATCACGGATCAAAAATTTTATGTCACAATTTATTCATCGATTACAAAATCACAAATTTTATGTGTCACAATTTATTTAACGATTACAAATTATTAAATTAATTGATCACAAGTAATTTCTCGATCACAACTTAATAAATTGTAATTCACAATTACATTTTTTAGGTCATATATTATTTATTGATTACAATCAACAAAATAATTGGATACAAACACCCCATCCCCATCTAGGGATGTCAAACGGGTCGCTCGGCTCATAGGCAGCCCGGGTCGTCATTTGACGAGCACGAGCCCTAGTCGAGCAGAAGGCTCAATCCCACGAGCCGAGCCTGCTCAACTCGTCGAGCCCACAAGCGACTTGTGGATAGTGGGCCCACGAGCTCATCAAAAAATATGTAAATTTACCCAAAAAAAAAGTCAAAAAATGTGCAAAAAAAAAAAAATTAAAAAATCACGAGCTCTCGAACGATTCGTGGGCTCGGCTCGGCTCGACCCTCGAGCTTGGCTCGTCTTTCACGAGTCACGAGCCCGAGCCGAGCTCGTGAGTTAAATGGTCGAGTCGAGCCATCCCTATCCCCACCTATGACCACAGTACCCATCGCCACCATCGTTATTGCCACTATTACCTCACCAAACCATGCAAAACCACCACCACGACAAGCTTCACACACTGCAACAATGCAAAATCACACCACCACCACACATCACAATAATCACAAATATGACCTGTGACCTAACACTTGTGAAATGTGACCACAAATTAACTAAATTCACTGCAAAAAAAACCACAAAATCATTTCAAAACCACTACAAAATTAGACTTGTGACCAAAATCTCACATCACTGACTTTTACGGCTACCACCAGAACTCTCAGTCACAACCTCCCTCCTTTGACTCCATCCATCCCGTATCATTCATATGACTTATCCTCGGTCGAGGAAGCGGTGGCTTAATATCAACAATGCATGTGCTGCCTCGACATTGAGGCCTCTTTTCTACGCACTCTGTCCTAATCATCTCAGATCAATAACCCTGATAAACCTTGCTTGC